ATTATCCATTAATAAACTAATGAAATTCTCAAAGTCATTAAGGCCCTTTTGATTTCAGACTTTCTTGAAGATTTTATTTCTCCTTTTTGTAAATAAAGTTGCAAATATGCTCAACATGGTCAGAAGACTTTAGGACAATACACTGCATTTTCTAACTGGAGCTCCTTTATATACTGAATTCACTCTCATAGGTTTATTTCCAGGTAGAGTGAATAAAGTCAAATTTTAACTAGTTAATATTTTAATCCAAGAAAGAAGCAATCAACCAAAGATATTTGTAGGTGATTCAAAGAACAACTTCATGGACTAGATTATATAAATTTTTAGAGGAAGTGCCCTTCTTTCATTAGAAAGTCTATTCTGAGCAAATCAAAGGTATAGCAGATAGTTTACTATCTAGAGTCTAGATTCAATTTGAGATACAATCTTGATTATAGATAATGGAGGATTATCTATAATTGAATCCTTGTCTAGGATTCAAGCATTAATATTTAAAGAATCAAAAGCAAGAACAGAAAATAACCCCACATATATCAAATAATAAGCATATCTCAAAGATAAAATAACAATTTAGTACTTTTTCCAAAACAGCATCCAAGAATCACAATGTACCCAACATAGTTTAATGAGATGAAACTTAACAAGAAAATAAAACCAGCAATTTTCTAAGAAGAGAGAAATCAGAATGAAATATGAACATACAAATTTAGTAAAACTTCATAGGGATTATTAAAATAATAAGATTATTATTTTAAAAGACAAAAGAGCAAAGAAAAGAATGAAAGAGGAAGAGAGGGAAAGAGGAGAGAAGGAGAGAAAGGAGGGAATAAGAAAAGGGAGGAGGAAGTGGAGGAAAGGAGAGAGGAAGTTGGCTATTTCAGAAGAAATTGCTATTGCTATTCGGAAGAGAATTAATTAAGGCAATAAAATTTGCAAAAGAAATACATGAGAGAGACAATGAATCCTCCATATTTTAAAAAGAAAACAAAGAAAAGATAAAGAAAAGATCTCTAGCCTATCTATTGAAATAATTCATTTACAGTCATTGCCAGTTAAATTTGTTCTACTGACTGTGCTTTTTCTATTATTTAAAAGTAACAACTTTCTCATCTGTAATTACAAATGACTCAGGAAATCACCAAGAGTACAATTTCTACTGTGTCCTGATTTGGCTAAGTGGAGATGAATTTTTCATTGTGGAATAATGTATTTCAGGTATATAAACTGTTGTTCCATTTGTGGGCTAACTAGCAGTGATAAACAAGACTCTCAATAAAACATACAAAATAGTGAGGATACAGTCTTAATTTGCAGTGTGAAGGCCACAGACTATATAATGGAGGAAAGGGGAAAGCATGTGCCCAAACCAATGAATAAACTATAAGAATCTGTAACATTTCTTCTAGCTCTATAATTCCATGAACTTCCCTGGTGGCTCAGTCCATAAAGAAAGCGCCTGCAGTGCAGGAGACCCAGGTTCAATTCCTGGGACGGGAAGATCCCCTGGAGGAGGGAATAGCAACCCATTCCAGTATTCTTGCCTGGAGAATCCCATGGACAGAGGAGCCTGGTGGGTTACAGACCATGGTGTCCAAAGAGTTGGACATGACTGAGCAACTAACACTTTCAGCCTAGAAACCATGTTTATGAAAACAATCTAAAGGTGATGGATACAACAGCAGCAGGAACAAGGATAGAAATGAAGTGTTTCTATGCTGACTGCTAAGGCTTGCTTGGGAGGAATACAGCACAATGTTTCATTACCTATTTTAAGTGAGAATACCAAGGACAAAGAAAAGGAAAACCATTGTCCTCTGGCTCTGAGGTATATTCTATGACAAGTTTTTATTCTACAAATATCTTTTCTTATGGCAATATTTAAATGAGCATTCCGTGAGAATATACTATTTGATGATAATTGGAGGCAGCCAGAAATACATAATGTAACAGAGAAAAATCAACAAGAAATTAGGACACTGATGTGCATACAGTCACAGAGGGATATAATGTAAATTACAGGTAAAAGTATACACTCAGACTCTAGATACAGCCCCACCTTAATGATTAAGTGGCCAATAGGTCACTTATCCAGCATGGTCTTGTTTCTCCATCTATAAAATAAAAGAAGTAATGAAGGTAGGATAGAATAAATGACCTCTAACTTTAAAAGTCCCTGATAATTTAAATAATTTAAAATCAAGAATTCTTTCTAGATGAAAATCCAAATTTCAGAACTGTAACATCATAATACCTAACTGAGCCATAAATAACAAAATATTATATCATAAAATGTTATAATTAGAAGGAATATGGTGTATTCAGTACATTTGAACTGAGGCATAAAGAGGTTAATTAAATGGCTCAAGGTTACATAACTGGCAGGGAGGAAGAGATGGGATTAGAATTTTCCTACTTTTTTCCAATACCTGTATGATGACACTAAGTAAAATCTTTCTTTTCTGGGAAACTAAGGGAGAGGGAATGCCATCTGAGTGGTTTTAAAAAAAAAAAAAGAAAGAAAGAAAGCAAAAAAACTAAAAGAAAAATGATACCTTTAGATGAAAGCAAAGCAGAGATATATAATCCTCAGAGAATATCTGCAATTAAGCTCTTAAAAGAAATATAGTCAGATCCCCATCTCTTTATGATAAGCTTAATGACTGCTATTTAATTCACCTAAATTATCCTCACTTTGTACACTGCCGATAAAACTAAAAATTGTGCAAGAGGCCTCAGAGAAATAGATCTCAATGGTTAGAACTCATAGGATGTCACATATAAACCAAAAACGTTTACTTAAAACTTCACTGAAAACCAAGAAAGGGACATTTGGGTACAATATTGTTTTGAGAAATAATGCCAAGCTGAGGTAGAACAAGAAAAGTTGTATAGCTCAAATAGTCAAGCCCAAGACCTTCCGTCCATTATACTTGATAGCTTGTCCTCCCAGCTGGGACTGAGAAATATGGTTCCACCAGAGCCACCGAATCCACAACTAAGATGGCCAAAGAAGTCGACTTGGGCTGATTTAATCGACTTCCCTCCTGATGACTCAGGTATGAAGAAGAATAAATAGCAATTCCTTTAAAAGGTTCAGATGGTAAGGATCTGGACACATTTTCCACTCTAGAGAAGGGTAGCAATATAGCTGAAAAAGACTTAGCAAAATAAAAAGTTCTAAGTTTGATGGTATAAGGTGACATTATATAGAATAAGGACTGGATGAAAAAAATTTAATTTGGGAATCCCAATACTAAGGATCTAAGTGATGAAACATTAAGTTTATGATATTTTACATAATTCGAAGATTCTTCAAACAGAATGATAATGTTCAGTTTATGCAATAAATTTTAAGGTAAATGTGTCATAATGATAAATAATGACAAAAATGGTAAGGTCCTTGTATGAGAGCTTTAAGGCCATGAAGTGTAATCAAGTATAACTAAGTCCTTTGTGTCTCAATTCACAGAATGAAAGAAATGTTAAATGCAAAATTAAAAGATAACTAGCAGTAATTTTATTGGAGAAGGAAATGGCAGCCCACTCCAGCGTTCTTGCCTGGAGAATCCCAGGGACGGGGGAGCCTGGGGACTGCGTCTGATGTGACTTAGCAGCAGCAGCAGCAGTAATTTTGGAGGCTTTCTGGGTGGCTCAGTGGTAAAAGAATCCGCTTGCAATGCAGGAGACACAGGTTTGATCCCTGGGTCAGGAAGAACCCCTGAAGAAGGGAATGGCAACCCACTCCAGTATTCTTGCCTAGGAAATCCCATGGACAGAGGAGCCTGGTGGGCTATGGTCCATAGGGTTGTAAACAGGCAGACACAACTTAGCAACTTAGCATACTATAGTAATTTTAAGGCAGTAATTACCATATTTAAAACAACTGAAGTGAAATGAAATGATCCAGATCTGAAAAGACTAACTTGAATCATTAAAGCAAAGGAAAAAGAGATCGGAGGGGAGAATGAACAAGGTCACCTTTCTTCTGATGAAGGACAACAGAACATTTGACTCATTCAGAGGACTCCTCACACTTTGTCACTAAACCATTAGGTTTCCTGGCTAAAACACTGTCAATAAAATAGTGTTGATGGTTATACATTTTTTCACTCTCCATATCGTAGACTATCACATTATTTGAAATATAATTCCACAGGTTAAAGAGGTTTAAAACCCGAGAGACCATCCATGAACGACAAAGAGAAAGCATTTTAGCTTAGTTTGAGGATTTCAAAGAGGTTTGTGGAAGTGGCCATGGCTTATAAGAGCAAGACTCTACTAAAAGAGTTCATTCTTAGTGAATAACCCTATAATTTGTGAAGACACCCCAGAAAGTAGGGAGGCATCATTAAGTGGTTTATCCCATCAGTCCCTAATCTTTTTGGCACCAGGGACTGGTTTCATAAAAGACAATTTTTCCATGGACCCAGGGAGTGGGGAGAAGGGTGATTTGGGGATGATTCTCACAAGGAGCATTCAACCTATATCCCTTACATGCACAGTTCACAGTAGGGTTCACGCTCCTACGAGAATCTAATGAATGTCACTGACCTAACAGGAGGCAGAGTTTAGGCATTAATGTGAGTGATGGCGAGAGTCTGTAAATACAGACAAGCTTTGCTCACTCTCCTGCCTCTCGCCTCCTGCTGTGCAGCCTGCTTCCTAACAGGCCATGGACCAGTACCCCTCTGCGGTCCAGAGGTTGGGAACCCCTGGTTTATCCCATTCCCATGCCAAATGTACATATGACTAACATGGTCCTGGCACGTCTTCCATTTTCCCTGGGTGATCTTTGACTTGATCTGCACCCTGCACCTACTTATCTTCAGCAACATTCCTACCACTTTCAACATGTCAAGTGTTGAACACCTGGTGGTTCTCCAAATTCATCTAAGCCCAGGGGACTCACGGTAACCTCAGACAGGAACCATCAGACATAATTAACTTCATCACATGTAACTAAATACACAGAGATTCCAGTCCAAATAAGTGGCACTTACTTATGTCCATTTAAGGCTGCATGGTGTAAAGCCGTGTAGCCCGAACTGTCTGTGCAGTTCACGTTGGGGCCTCGCCAGATGCTGCAAATAAAGCACAGGCACACAGTTAACAGGGGGCAGAACTGTGCTTTGCAAAACAGAAGGAAGCCTGTTAGTCTCACAGACGGCAGCATGTTTCATATGAGGATTTTATTCATGTAGAAGACAACCGCCACCTTTCCTGCACTCCCCTCAGAACAATATCTTTATTCATTTATTTGACGTAGAGAAATTATCAGTGAATATAGCTACCATTAGAAATTATTAGCAGATGCAGACCCCCTGGTATACTTTAAATTTGGACCCCAAAATTCCCTGTCACTTTCGGTCATAGGGCTTCCCGGGTGGCTCAGAGGTTAAAGCGTCCGCCTGCAATGCAGGAGACCTGGGTTCAATCCCTGGGTTGGGAAGATCCCCTGGAGAAGGAAATGGCAACCCACTCCAGTATTCTTGCCTGGAGAATCCCATGGACAGAAGAGCCTGGTGGGTTACAGTTCACAGGGTCGCAAAGAGTCGGACATGACTGAGTGACTTAATTTCGGTCATTACTTAAATATTGGATGCAATTAACATTGAACTGTTATATTCTTTACCAAGAAGAAACATTTAATTCACCTGCCTCCTCTTTTAACACACTCATTCTGAGATGGCAGTGGTTTACGTAAGTTACATATTTGCATACAGAAAGAATATAAACACTTCTTGCTGTTCCATTGCTACCAAGAGAATATAAAACATATTTCACCCTTGAAAATATAACTAGATTTGATTATCACAAACCATAAAAAGGTTCTAGTAATTTTGAATTTATTTTGCTATACAATATATTTTGAAGATAACATATAAGAAAGAATCCACTTTATCCTTGATCACTACAGTTATAGAAACTATAGTTTTAAAAAAATAGGCATGGAAAGACAGTTTTCCAAAAGTAAATCTCTCCAAAAACTATCTGATATTATCAAAGCCATCAAAACTAACATATAATGACAAACTAGTTCATGTATTCACAAAATATTTATTGTGTACCAATTATATGTCACATATTAAGCTAAGTACTGACAGTACACAGTCATAATTCAAGGTCCTTCTTTACAAGAGCAGAGTCTAACGGAGAAGAGAGACACATAAACTAACAAGTACAGACCAGTAAGATCATCAAGGTGTCAGAGAGCACACAAGTGTCTGTGAGAAGAGAATAATGGCTAAATATTCCAAACAAGAGGTCACAACTCACTTAAACTAAGTTGAGACAATGAAAATGAGTAGAATGTTCTTATTCGACAGTTATAAAAAGTCAAACCAATAAGATACAGGGATCAACTGAAGGAAGGAGAAAGTACAATAGTTAGCACAGAATCACTCAAATTAAATGTCTAAATGACTGAAAGGAAAATGACATGAACTAAGATATGAAAAGAAGGCAAATCTGCTGGAGGAAGACAGTGTAGATGGAAAGCAAACAATGACTTCAGGCTTGGACACATTTAATTTCAAGTATCTGACATACTTACGTAAAAGTAAGGATCTCCAGAAAACTACGAAAATATCTAGTTAGAAGCATGGTTCTTAAGTTAGACAACCTGATTTCAAAAACCTGGCTCCATTACTTGCTGGGGGTAGCCCTGGATAAAGTATTTAACCTCTCTGAAGTATTTAATTCCTTGTCTGCAAAATAGAGATGATGATAATAGTAGTACTACCTTAAAATGTTGTGAGGATCAAATGAATCAGTACTTATAAAGCTAGGGCATTGGTGGGAATGCAAACTAGTACAGCCACTATGGAGAATAGTGTGAAGATTCCTTAAAAAACTGAAAATAGAACTGCCATATGACCCAGCAATTCCACTCCTGGGCACACACACCAAAGAAACCAGATCTGAAAGAGACACGTGCTCCCCAATATTCATCACAGCACTGTTTATAATTGCCAGGACATGGAAACAACCTAGATGCCCATCAGAAGACGAATGGATAAGGAAGCTGTGGTACATATACACCATGGAATATTACTCAGCCATTAAAAAGAATTCATTTGAATCAGTTCTAATGAGATGGATGAAACTGGAGTACATTATACAGAGTGAAATAAGCCAGAAAGATAAAGACCAATACAGTATACTAATGCATATATATGAAATTTAGAAAGATGGTAACGATAGCCCTATATGCAAAACAGAAAAAGAGACACAGATGTACAGAACAGACTTTGGGACTCTGTGGGAGAAGGCGAGGGTGGGATGTTTCAAGAGAAGAGCATCGAAACATGTATATTATCTAGGGTGAAACAGATCACCAGCCCAGGTTGGATGCATGAGACAAGTGCTCGGGGCTGGTGCACTGGGAAGACCCAGAGGGATTGGGTGGAGAGGGAGATGGGAGCGGGGATCGGGATGGGGAACACATGTAAATCCATGGCTGATTCATGTCAATGTATGGCAAAAACCAATACAATATTGTAAAGTAATTAGACTCCAACTAATAAAAATAAATAAAAAAGAAAAAAAAGAGAAAAAAAATAAAGCACTTAGGGCAGTAGTTGAACATAGCACTAGCATCTATTATATTTGTTATGTTTGTTCAAAAAATTGTTAGAAGATAAAACCAAGGTAGTGCTTGATTTCACACTCTTTAAGAGAGGCCATCAGCTGGGCATGGTGGCATGCATCTCAGCTACGCAGGAGGCTGAGGCTGGAGAACTGCTTGAACCTAGGAGTTCTGGGCTGCGGTGCACTATGCCAATTGGCTGTCCATACTAAGTTCAGTATCAATATGGTGACCTCCTAGGAGAGAGGTCATCAGGCTCAAATACCTCAGAGGAAAATCTGTATATGAAGGCAAGGTGAAACCTTCTCTCATATGTTGATATTAGCCAAAATATCAATCCCTAGATGAAAAAAAAAGAAATCAAACCTAAGTTGGGTAGATAGTTCCAAGTTCAAGACAACTCAAAATCTGAAAACCTCCCAGCCCTTACTGAAATGGTCAGAGAACCTATACGAAAGTATACTGTGAGGAAAAAAGGAAAGAAAGAAAAATATGGGACTGACAATAGAACCATGGATAATTAACAATACTTTAGGGTCCAGCATGGATAAAAAGTTACATGAAGAACACTGAGAGTTGTCCAAGAGTAAATAAAACCAAGAGAAAGCATTATTCAATTTTAAAAAGGAAACTGTCCCCCCCCCAAAAAAGTGAGATAAGAATCAAACTATTTGGTAATAAAGAAGGTCTTGAGGAAATTACTGACCAAATATAACTAGTCAATTGTAAGATTTTAACTTAATCTTTATCTTAACTTCATTTCAATCCAGTCGTTTATTTCCTTTAGTGGTAGCTTACCTCCTGAGAATAAAAAAAAGTTACAATTAAACCAGGAAAGTTATAAAATATGCATATGTTTTACAATTTCATTAAGATTGTTAGACTTTTAACAATCTTTTTTTTTCTAAATCAATCCTTGAAGCACTTCTAGTCTCCTACTATGTTCTTAAAACTGTTATACCTTTGTTTCTCTTGCTAATTTACCCATCTTGCCCTATTAATTTCCACCTTTGTGCCTTTACTCATGCCCTTCTACTAACCTATGACAGATTTTCTAACCAAGCATATCTTACCATTCTTCCAAAGCCTAGATCAAGATTCACCTGTTCCAATAATTTTTCTCTAAATATTGAATACAATAGTTATTTAACAAATATATGCTAAATTATAAATAATTGATTATTTTAATGAATAAATAAGCCACAGGTAAAAACAAATGTTTAAACAAATGCAATGTACTCATTTAAAATAATGTGAAATCCAAAAAATAATAATAATAATAATTCAAGAAGCAAAAGAATAAAAAAGCAGAAGAGAGAAATAAGGAAGATTTGATACAAATACAAACGAAACTATTAGATGATAGATTTAACCACATCAATGACAAAAATAACCACATCAACAATTACAATAACCATTAATTGTTTAATCATCCCAGTTTAAAAAAGTATCATCAGACTGGATTAAAGAAAGTAAGGCCCAACTGTATGCTCACTACAAGAAATTCGCTTTAAACATAGAGATACATAGGGCTTCCCTAATAGTTCAGTTGGTAAAGAATCTGCCTGCGAGGCAGGAAACCCCTGTTCGATTCCTGGGAATCAGAGATCAAATTGCAACATCTGCAGGATCACTAAAAAAGCAAGAGAGTTCCAAAAAAACGTCTACTTTTGCTTTATTGACTATGCCAAAGCCTTTGACTGTGTGGATCACAACAAACTGTGGAAAATTCTTAAAGAAAAGGGAATACCAGACCACCTGACCTGCCTCCTGAGAAATCTGTATGCAGGTCAAGAAGCAACAGTTAGAACTGGACATGGAACAACAGACTGGTTCCAAATCAGGAAAGAAGTACATTAAGGCTGTATATTGTCACCCTGCTTATTGAACTTATATGCAGAGTACATTATTCAAAATGCCAGGCTGGATGAAGCACAAGCTGGAATCAAGATTGCCGGGAGAATTATCAGTAACCTCAGATATGCAGATGACACCACCCTTATGGCGGAAAGCAAAGATAAACTAAAGAGCCTCTTGATGAAAGTGAAAGAAGAGAGTGAAAACATTTGTTTAAAGCTCAACATTCAGAAAACTAAGATCATGGCATCTGGTGCCATCACTTCATGGCAAATAGATGGGGAAACTATGGAAACAGTGACAGACTTTATTTTGGGGGCTTCAAAATCACTGTAGATGGTGAGTGCAGCCATGAAATTAAAAGACGCTTGCTCCTTGGAAGAAAAGTTATGACCAACCTACACAGCATATTAAAAAGCAGAGACATTACTTTGCAAACAAAAGTCCGTCTAGTCAAAGCTGTGGTTTTTCCAGTATTCATGTATGGATGTGAGAGTTGGACAAGAAAGCTGAGTGCTGAAGAATTGATGGTTTTGAACTGTGATACTGGAGAAGACTCTTGAAAGTCCCGTGGACTGCAAGGAGATCCAACCAGTCCATCCTAAAGGAAATCAGTCCTGAATATTCATTGGAAGG